CCCTTAGCCATCGTCGCTCTCTCCCTCTTCCTCGGACCTCCCTTCTCCGCCAACGCGCCTTCCTCTTGTTGACTTTGGAGTCGACTCAAAAGTCAACTCTTCCTCCGACCTCCCTTCTCCGTCAACGCGCCTTCCTCTTGTTGACTTTGGAGTCGACTCAAAAGTCAACTCTTCCTCCGACCTCCCTTCTCCGCCAACGTGCCTTCCTCTTGTTGACTTTGGAGTCGACTCAAAAGTCAACTCTTCCTCCGACCTCCCTTCTCCGCCAACGCTCCTTCCTCTTGTTCCCCTTTGCAGGCCTAGATGCATACAAAGTTTTCCTCTTGTCCCCATTTGCACTCACCCTCCCACATGCACCCACTCCCTCCCCCTCCTCCACAACCTCCACCAACCCTCCCTCCCACTCGTCCGCAGTCCCATATTCGCGGCCATAGTGCCGGCGCGCCTGCGAACAGACATCTACGCTCTCGACCGCGCGTGTGAGATGTCACTGGCTGCCTTCCAACCAACTCCAAGTCACTCCCCAACTCCCCCGTCCCCTCTAAACACCCACCTACAGCCCCATATTCGCGGCCATAGTGCCGGCGCGCCTGCGAACAGACATCTACGCACTGGACCGTGCATGTGAGATGTCTGTGGCAGCCTTCGCCCCGCCCACTGTCGGCTTCCTCGCCCAGGCCTGCTTCGGCTTCCACCCCTCCTCCCCGTCCCCCACCCCACCTGCCGCCGCTCCTGCCCCTTCCCCTCCTGCTTCCCCTGCCACTCCTCCTCTTGCTCCGCCCGCTCCATCTGCTGCTGATCCGGGGAACGCTAGAGCGCTCTCTCTAGGGCTGTTCTGGACCATGGCTCTGCCCTTTGCTGTCTGCTGTGTCCTCTACGGGGGGCTCTACTGGACGTACCCTCACGACCGGGACAAGGCCCGGGCCGAGGCTGCGGAAGAGGCTCGGAAAGGGGAGCAGCAACAGTATGAGAGGGTCAGGGTAGTGTCTTGAGGACTGAAGCCCCCTGCCACTCGCTCTGCTGCCCTCCTGTTGCCCTCTCTGCTGCTGTGCCTGCAACTTTCTCTGCTGAACGTAGGGTGCACTGTGCACAGCACACCATAGCAGCCGCAACAACCATTGCACCTTCACCACCTATCAGGCACTGATATTGTTGTTGCAGATGCTGTAGTTGTTATGATTACGAGAGATGCAAGGTACAACGGTTGTTACAGCTGCTATGGTTGTTACCACTGTGAGAAGTGAAGGTGCCTGAGGCACACGCCTTGGCTGATAGCCCGTGCCACAGCACTGCGCCTTGGTAATTCCAAACCTCGGCAACAGCACCCCAACGTATGGTGCCTTACCGTTACAATCGTTTTTGGTACCGGCATTCAATGATTGCTCTGCATTCGCTCGCACCTTTATCTCTTGAGCTCTTGACAACACAGCATCTCGCCTCTGTCTCCCTGCACCAGCCCCTGATTTCCATGCAGAGGCTGAGAGGCCTTTGATTCCTTAACGCTTGAGCCCGGAATGCTCTGCAAGCGAGCCATGCACTAATCCTGAACTGTGCGGCACTAATTCTGAATTGTTTTATGGCAACAGAAAAAGTTTTGACGAATATGGCATACGTTGATTTGCCGGGTTGCTGACGAGTTCAGACACGGAACACGATTTAAGTTGTTGGCAAGAATTTCAATAAATAGAATGTTCTATAATTACCAAGGTCAATGGCACGACTGTATTGTGGTTTCTTCTGCACTGTTGAGCAGCGACTGCTAATGGGGTTCGGAGAAAGCAGAAGGCGGGGAGAAGGGATGGACGAAAGAAAGAGGATGAAAGGGGACAGGGGCGGCGGAAACTCTCTTACAGACCTGAAGCCTGCGAATCGAAGAGAACCGGACACATAAAGAAGCAACCTGAATTGTCATCTGGTGAAGCCCAGAACCTTCAAACGGTCGCAGCAGCTCCATCCAGGTCATCCGAAATGGTTGGAATAGAAAAACTCTCCTGAGTAACAACCTGCGGTTTCAGTTCGCTGAACCCATGTGGTCGCGCCTCGTAACAAATCCTGACACCTGAAAGCAAACCGCGAAGCAGATCTAGCGGGACTGGGGACCGCCTAGGTTTTGGTGGTGGGTGGGTACGTGAAGTACAAACAGCTAAGGGCAACATCACTAGAAATCAAGTAGTCAGCACAGCAATCCCAATTCCATCCCAGGGCATTCCAACACATATTTACGCACCAACTCACTAGAAGTACTACGATTTTGTTGCTCCATACAGACATTGACCTCAAACCATGACGCGTTTACTTTTCGTCGCAACATTCGCCGTGCTGCTGGCGGTGGCGTCCGCAGGACAAACCGTCGTGACTGGACCCAACAACCCTGCGGTCAACCTGGACAAGGCCAAGGGCGAGAATGGCGTGGCAACCGAGGTCCCTCCTGGCATCGAGAAGGCGGCGGCCGCCGGCGGGCTGGACAAGTTCGAGGGGACGACGATCGTGAGCCCGAGCACAGACAGTATTCTGATGGTGGACGTGAAGGTTGCGGGATGGAACAAAATGAAGTGCCACAAGGACCTGGGCAAGCCCGGGGAGGGCGCGTGCACGCCCGCCAACTGCAGCAAGGGCGGCATCGCTGCCAAGTGGAAGACGTCGAACCTGCTCAAGAACAAGCTGGGCGTGGAGGTGTACGTGAAGGGCAACCCGCTGACGCTGAAGAAGGCGTCCCCGCAGACGTGCTGCAACACGTGCGCGGGGTACAGCAGCTGCACGTACTGGCAGTACATCCCCGACATCACGATCGACGGCAAGAAGACGGACGGCGCGTGCTACCTGGTGCACGACAACATCGACTACTCGTGCGGCGACATGACGGCGCAGTACGCGACGGACTCGAAGCCGGTTCATCTGCAGGTGCGCACGGGCGGCGAGTGCAACCCCGCGGCGAACGTGGTGAACGACCCGCATCTGGTGGGCGCGTACGGCACGCACTTCGACTTCAACGGGCGCCCCGATAAGGCGTTCTGCCTGCTGACGGACAAGGACCTGCACGTGAACATGCTGCTGCGCGGGTACTACTCGGACGACACGGAGAACGCGGCGCTCGTTGTGGACGGCAAGGCCGTGCACACGTGGATCAAGGAGCTCGGCATCATCTGGTTCGCCAAGGGTGTCGACCACAAGGTGCGGCTCGCGGCGCGCTCTGGCAAGCAGCAGGAGCGTGGTGACGGGTTCATGAAGACGATCGAGATCGACAGCGAGGAGATCCCGAGGATGCACGTGGGCGACGAGGTGACGACCGAGGGCGGTCTGACTCTGCGGTTCGCGGCGCTGGAGAAGGAGGGCCCGTATGACGTGGACTACTACACGCTGGCGATCGACGGGCTGGTGGCGCTCGACCTGCGCCTGCGCGTGGCCAACCCCAAGCTGCAGACGCCCAGCGAGGCCGAGGCGCACATCAACGTGGGAATTGTGGAGCTGGAGCACACCGACGACGTGCACGGCGTGCTCGGCCAAACGTACCGCCCCGACCACGCCGCTCGCGCCGCCGACTTCCAGCGCCTGATCGCGAACCTGCACCGTCCGATCTCGGCTGACAGCCAGGAGGGCGCTGGGTTCCTTGACGGCACTCCCCGGCTGTACGAGTCGAGCTCCGTGCTGTCCGTGGACTGCGCGCAAACGGAGTACCACCGCGCCAAGCAGCTGAGCCCCGTCGAGGACTTCCCCATGGAGCCCCTCAACTAAACACACTCGCTCCGTCGTGTACGGTGGGCTGATTCAGTGGGTTCTGTAGGTGGGCTGATTTGTGCACACAAATGTGTGCTCTGTATTGTAGGTTGGCTGACTCTCGCCATGCTTTTTACTTAGTAAATGTAGGCTAAATTCTTTTAAAGCCCGCGTCTCAAATTGCGGGCCGTGAGGGTCAAGTTATTAAAACTTGACGAAGTTGAGTGTCCAAGCTTTTGAAAGTCACGCACTTGCAATTTGGAACTTTCGAAGACAGATTCACTCACCAGGGGGAAAAACCAAGGGTTGGCTGGGTCTCGCGAAAAGAACGAACCTAGACGAAATCGGAAACTCTCGCCAAAGCCCACACCAGAAAAACTCCCTTTGGTCAACATTTAAAAGCATGAACAATTTGGGCCGCCGGCTTTAATCTTGAAATCGTTACAGTATACGTAATCCTCCGTCGTTGATGCATACTTAAAGCAAGGGTGCACTTTTGGGAGGGTTGGAGGCAAAAGTTTATCACTTGTCTCCACGTGGTAACCCTGTTTGTATTGACAGTCCGAGCTTCACTTCAGTGTTAGCGGACGTACGCGGATTTTCTCTCCCCCCGTCGTCGATTGTGACGGGCCAACTCGGAGTTGGGAACTTGATCACAACCAGGCAGTTTGTGAACCATAATGCGCTTGACTCTTGTACCACCACGGCATACAAATTGCAAGCAAGTAACAGCTAGCAACCACAACTCTACCGCATCGCCAACATCAGAGCATTAGTACAGTGACGCCGTCGCCAAAAGTGTGCCTTAGGGTTACGGCCATCAAACGCGCCCACCCTGTGTTTATCTCGCCCGCTATAGCGAGGTTGTCTTTTCAGGCGCTGTGAAAATACGATTGAATATAATAGCGACGATAGGAAATTGATCAATGGAGCAGCATAATTGGCTCGATGGTGATGGCGACTCGCATGGCGACTCGACTGGACGACAGCTCCCAGTTGAGTAGCACTCGATCAGATCCCATCGATGTCTTTACAGCTCAGCAAGAGCAGCGATTTGACGAGGAGGAGGAAGCCGTTCGGCTCCTCTCGCGATTTGAGGGGAGCCTAAACGCGGCTGCTCATTGCAGCCGTTGAAACAGCTGTCACCGCTTTGCTGGCACCAGACGTGCGCGCTGTAGCGTCGACTCGACAGTAGAAGCGGACCGTGCGAGCAGCGCAATAGACGGAATCGGAGATGAAGGGCTCTTCCAGGCGTGAGAGACGCCGCGACAGAAGCGAAGGCACCGATGGATGTCGCCTCTCCGCGTGCTGTGCGTGCTGTTATCAGACCACCTCGTGGCCCTCTCGTAGTTGCTTCTGCTTCGTCCGTACGAAGAATAGACCGTTTCCTGTTTCTCTCTTCCCTCCTCCTCCCCTTCTTCTCTCACACTCACCTTTCTTTGCTCTTCATCGTTTTCTCTGCCAGCTCCTTCCATTCGTACGACGATAGACCCTTCCCTTCCCGTTTCTGCCTCCTCCCTTCTTTTTTTCCCTTTCTCTCGTTTTCTCCGCCGTCTCTCTGCCGCTTCGCTGCTTCTGCTCCGTCCCTACGACAATAGTCCCCTCCCTTTCTTATTTTCCCTCCTCTCATTTTCCCTCTCTCGCTCTCGCCCTCGCTTTTCCTGTTACCTCCCTTGCTCCCTCTTCTCCCCCATCTCTCCCTAAGCTGTTTCATCTTGCTCCCCTTGTACCACACCAGTCCCCTTGTTCTTCCTGCCTCTCTCCCGTCTTCTCTCCTTCGTCCTCTCTCTTCCCTTTCCTCTCCTGATCACCGCCTCGCCTCCGCATCACATTCCCGTTCCTCACCCCTCCCTGCTCCCTTCACTTTTTCTTCCCTCCCCCTCCCCTCCCCCCTCTTCCCTCCAGGGGCGGCGCCAGTACTTCCCCTTTCCGCCCGCCACGCCCTGCTCGACCCGCTCTTCCTCTCCGCGCCACTCCCCTCGCTAGACGCCGCCCTCCCCCTCCTCTCGCTCCCCCCCTCCATTTCCGCCTACACTGCGTACCGTCAAATTTCCTCTCTTCTTCTCTTATGGAAAATTCTTATGAGGTCTCCTAACATAGGCCCCTCCCTACCTCCCTCCCTACCTCCCTACCTCCCTCCCTCCCTCCCTCCCTACCTCCCTCCCTCCCTCCCTCCCTCCCTCCCTCCCTTCCTCCCTTCCTCCCTCCCTCCCTCCCTCCCTCCCTCCCTCCCTCCCTCCCTCCCTCCCTCCCTCCCTCCCTCCCTCCCTCCCTCCCTCCCTCCCTCCCTACCTCCCTCCCTCCCTCCCTCCCTCCCTCCCTTCCTCCCTCCCTCCCTCCCTCCCTCCCTCCCTCCCTCCCTCCCTCCCTCCCTCCCTCCCTCCCTCCCTCCCTCCCTCCCTCCTCCTCCCTCCCTCCCTCCCTCCCTCCCTCCCTCCCTCCCTCCCTCCCTCCCTCCCTCCCTCCCTCCCTCCCTCCCTCCCTCCCTCCCTCCCTCCCTCCCTCCCTCCCTCCCTCCCTCCCTCCCTCCTCCCTCCCACCCCCACCTCTTATCCGTTTAGGCTGCTCCTCATCGCCATCTTCTGGCTTGCCTGACGAGGAGACTGCCAAAGAAGCCGTCAGGCCAGGAGGCTTAGAGGGCCCGCCTGCAGCTTCTCCTCCTCACACGTGTCCAAACGTTACTGGAGCAGGGAGCATGCAGTCAGGGGGCGTTCACAGATTCTTGGTCCATCAGCCACATCAGCAGCAGGGTGGAGAGGAGAGTACAGCGTGGAAAGAGTGGTGTCCCAGTTGGCATCGGTGACAGATAGGGCGTCGTCGCATGCTCCTTCTGCCCTGCATGCTCCTTCTGCCCTGCATGCTCCGTACGTGTGCTCCCTGTCGTACCCACTTCGTCACTGCCCCGCGTGCTCTGTCAGTGTGCTTCCTCACTTGCTCACGTAGCCCCTCTCTCGCTCCATTGGTACTGTGTTCCCCGAGTCTGCGACCCCTTTCGACCTTCCCTCTTCCCGCTTCTGAGTCATCCCCGTCTCTGGTCAGTCTTGAGCCTCCTTGCCCAACCAGTCACTGGATCTCGTCCCTCATCTGCCAATCTCTCACCACCACTGCCACCACCACTTACACCCTTTTTCCCCGTTTCCCCTCTCTGCCTTAATCCCTTTGCCTCTTTTCCCCTCTCTGCCTCCTTCCCCCTTTCCTCCTTACAAACTCCACCTGAGAGGACCCCTCCCCACGCGCCACAGGGGATTTCTCGTCAGCCAACACAGTGCATATCTCGCTCAAACAGTGCACGCCCCTCGCCATCGCAGAGCTTCTCCCATCGCCCTCACCCCCCTCTCTCCTTACCTTCGGATGCGCCTCTCCACTCGCTGTCGCAGCTTCTCTTGTCGCCATCGCTGCGCCGCCTCTCCCCTCGCCGTCACAGCGCCCTTCCCGTCACTCTCGCCACGCCTCTTCCCTCGCCTCTCATCTCCTCTCCCCACGCCGTCACAGTGTCTCTCCCCCTTTCCGCCGCAGTGCCTATTCCGGGGGTGTAACATCACCTCCCTTCCTTGTCCTCTCTCGTCTCTGCCCTATCCTATGCCCCCTCTCTACCCTGTCCCATCCCCTCATTCCACCCTGTCCCATCCCCTCATTCCGCCCTATTCCATCCCCTCATTCCGCCCTGACCTATCCCCTCACTTCGCCCTGTCCCATCTTCTCACTCCGCCCTGTCCCATCCCCTCACTCCGCCCTGCCCCATCCCCTCACTCCGCCCTGCCCCATCCCCTCTCTCCGCCCTGTCCCATCCCCTCACTCCGCCCTGCCCCATCCCCTCACTCCGCCCTGCCCCATCCCCTCACTCCGCCCTGCCCCATCCCCTCACTCCGCCCTGCCCCATCTCCTCACCATCCTAGACGAGCAAGGCGCAAGGCTCAGACAAACTGCATGGACGTGCGTGCCGCCTCACCTTGCATCTGCTTTCATCACCTCAAAGGTGCAGATGAGCTACATCACGTAAAGGGACCGCCAGCAGATTCAAACGGAGCAAAGGCTCGAGCTTGTTTCTTGATACTGCATGCTTTTATAATGTGTATTTACATCTCATACAATGGTTCTAAAAGGTTCACATCTTGTCGCCTGACTTGGACATGGTTCTAAAAGGGCTACACACAATACTAAGAGGCTGTCATGACAGCAGCATTAACCTAAACTTGAGTACAGTATCAATGTGTTGTAATATGCCGTCGGATGGCACGAGGGCACACAGTAGCCTAAAATAAAATCATATCGTACTTTGTTGCTCCATGCTGCAAAGAAAAGCTCACAAGGGAGAAGGGCGGGGGGGCGGGAGAAACAGGGACAAGCAGCACGGAAACTGAGTGGGCACGCAGGTGGGAAAGGGAGAGCAGGGGGGGGGGGGGGGGGGGAGGGGAGGGGGAGGGAACGAGGGGAAGGAGGTGGGGGAATGGGGGGAAGCAGGGGGGGAAAGAGGGGAAGCATTGTGGGAAATGAAGGCGCAAGGGGGAAAACCTAGAGCAACGGGGAAGAAAAGGGGGAAACAGAGGGAAAGAGGTTAGGAAATGAGGGGTTGGAGAGGGGAAATAAGGGAAAGGAGGGTGGTACATGAGGGAAAGAGAAGGGAGAAGGGAGGGCACTGGGGAGAGAGGAGGACAAGGAGGAGAGAGGAGGACACGGGGGGAGAGGAGGACACGGGGGGACATGACAAGGACACTGAGAGGGCAAGCACAGGCGAACAGGTGGGTAGGCAAGAGAAAAACAGTGAGGACGCGAATCACGGAACCAATGAGGGCAAGCAGGGGGGAAAAGGAGGGGAAGCAAGGGGGGAACGTAGGGAAAGCAAGGGGGGAAATTAGAGGAAGCAAGGGGGAAATTAGAGGAAGCAAGGGGGGGAAGCGAAGAGAATAAAAGGGATTGGAGGGGAGAGGAAGTCTTAGTGAAGGGAGGGGTAGTGCATTGTGAGGGAATGATAAGGTGCTCTGTGAGGAAAAATCGGGAAGTGTGACATGGGGGAAAGGGGGGGAGCGACCTGGGGGACAGGGAGGAGCGACCTGGGAGAAAGGAGAGGAGAGACCCGCGGGGGTAGGGGAAGTGGAGGGGAAGGGGAAGTGGAGGGGAAGGGGAAGTAGAGGGGAAGGGGAAGTGGAGGGGAAGGGGAGGTGCGACCTGGGGGAAGAGGAGGTGCGACCTGGGGGAAGAGGAGGTGCGACCTGGGGGAAGAGGAGGTGCGACCTGGGGGAAGAGGAGGTGCGACCTGGGGGAAGAGGAGGTGCGACCTGGGGGAAGAGGAGGTGCGACCTGGGGGAAGAGGAGGTGCGACCTGGGGGAAGAGGAGGTGCGACCTGGGGGAAGAGGAGGTGCGACCTGGGGGAAGAGGAGGTGCGACCTGGGGGAAGAGGAGGTGCGACCTGGGGGAAGAGGAGGTGCGACCTGGGGGAAGAGGAGGTGCGACCTGGGGGAAGAGGAGGTGCGACCTGGGGGAAGAGGAGGTGCGACCTGGGGGAAGAGGAGGTGCGACCTGGGGGAAGAGGAGGTGCGACCTGGGGGAAGAGGAGGTGCGACCTGGGGGAAGAGGAGGTGCGACCTGGGGGAAGAGGAGGTGCGACCTGGGGGAAGAGGAGGTGCGACCTGGGGGAAGAGGAGGTGCGACCTGGGGGAAGAGGAGGTGCGACCTGGGGGAAGAGGAGGTGCGACCTGGGGGAAGAGGAGGTGCGACCTGGGGGAAGAGGAGGTGCGACCTGGGGGAAGAGGAGGTGCGACCTGGGGGAAGAGGAGGTGCGACCTGGGGGAAGAGGAGGTGCGACCTGGGGGAAGAGGAGGTGCGACCTGGGGGAAGAGGAGGTGCGACCTGGGGGAAGAGGAGGTGCGACCTGGGGGAAGAGGAGGTGCGACCTGGGGGAAGAGGAGGTGCGACCTGGGGGAAGAGGAGGTGCGACCTGGGGGAAGAGGAGGTGCGACCTGGGGGAAGAGGAGGTGCGACCTGGGGGAAGAGGAGGTGCGACCTGGGGGAAGAGGAGGTGCGACCTGGGGGAAGAGGAGGTGCGACCTGGGGGAAGAGGAGGTGCGACCTGGGGGAAGAGGAGGTGCGACCTGGGGGAAGAGGAGGTGCGACCTGGGGGAAGAGGAGGTGCGACCTGGGGGAAGAGGAGGTGCGACCTGGGGGAAGAGGAGGTGCGACCTGGGGGAAGAGGAGGTGCGACCTGGGGGAAGAGGAGGTGCGACCTGGGGGAAGAGGAGGTGCGACCTGGGGGAAGAGGAGGTGCGACCTGGGGGAAGAGGAGGTGCGACCTGGGGGAAGAGGAGGTGCGACCTGGGGGAAGAGGAGGTGCGACCTGAGGGAAGAGGAGGTGCGACCTGGGGGAAGAGGAGGTGCGACCTGGGGTAAAGGGGAGGAGCGCCCTGTGGGGAAGTTGAAGTGCGAGTTAGGTGGAAAGGGGAAGTGCGACTTGGGGGATAGTGGCGGTGCGACTTTGCTCGGAAGGGGAGGTGCGACTTGGGGGAAAGGGGAAGTGCGACATGGGGGAAAAGGGAGTTGCGACCTTGGGAGAGATGGGAACGGAAAAGGGATCGGGTTTCGTCCTTGGAGGTAACGAGGTGGCGGTGGAGGCGTAGGCGATGAGGCGCGACATGGAGGCTGCAAGCCGTTGAGGAGGCGCATCGGCGTGGCGGTGATGTGGACGCGATTGCATTAGCGGGGTGGCGTGGCGGCGATGAAGCGGCGTTCGGGAACTTACATCGTGGCGTGGCGAGGGATGAGGGAGGGATGAGGGAGGGGAGGACGAGATGGGAGAGGAGAGGACGGGAGGAGAGAGGAGAAGACGGGAGGAGTGAGGAGAGGACGGGAGGAGAGAGGGGAGGACGGGATGAAAGAGGAGAGGAGACGACGTGAGAGCGGAGGAAGGGACGATAGATGGACGGATGAGAGGGGGAGGACGGGATGAGAGATGAGAGTGAGGGATGAGAGAGGAGAGTCCGGGATGGGAAAGGAGAGGGAGGGATGAGTGAGTGGGGGACGGGAGGAGAGAGGGACGGGAGGGATGAGAGAGGGGAGGACGAGATGATAGTGGAGAGGGAGGGATGAGAGGGAGGAGGACATGGTCCTGAGAGGATAGAGGGGGATGATAATGGATGAAAGAGGAAAGGAGGGAATGAGAAAGGAGAGGGAGGGATGAGTGAAGGGGGGACGGGGGTGAGAGAAAGGGGGAGGTCATGAGAGATGTGAGGACGGGATGAGAAATGGAAAGTGGGGGGGAATGCGAGGTGAGGAGGAAATAATAGAGGGAATGAGGGGATGAGAGAGGGGAGGAGGGGAAGAGACAGGGGAGGAGGAGATGAGAGAGGAGAGGAGGGAATGAGATAGGCTCCGGATTGGATGAGATGGGAGAGGAGGGGATGGGAGAGGCGATGAGGGGATGAGCGAGGGATGGAGGGGTTGAGTGAGGGAGGGACGGGATGAGAGAAGGACGGAGGGGAGGATCGAGGAGAGGCGGGGATGAGAGAAGGAGGAAGGGGATGCGAGAAGGTGGGATGGGAGGAGGGGATGAGAGAAGGAACTGGGGTGGAGCGATGGGAGGAGGGAATGAGAGAAGGAAGGAGGGGACGAGTGAAGGACAGCCGGGATGAGAGAAGGAGGATGGTCTGAAAGAGGGGAGGAGGGGATGAGAGAGGGGAGGAGGGGATGAGAGAAGGTAAGATGGGAGGAGGGAGGGGAGGCGGGGATGAGAGAATGAGGGTGGAGATGAGAGAATTGAGGAGGGGATGAGAGATGGAAAGGGGGGAGGAGCAATGGGAGGAGGGGATGCGTGGGGGAGGGAGGGGATGAGTGAGGGAGGGAGGGGATGAGAGAAGGAGTGATGTGATGATAGAGGGGAGGAGCGAGGAGAGGCGGGTATGAGAGAAGGAGGGGGGGAATGGGAGATGGGAGGAGGGTATGAGAGATGGGAAAGGGGGACGTGCGATGGGAGGAGGGGATGAGAGAAGGAAGGAGGAGGGGATGAGAGATGGAGGGATGGGCTGATAGAGGGGAGGACGGGATGAGAGTATGACGGAGGGGAGGAGAGAGGGGAGGCGGGTATGAGAGAAGGAGGGATGGGAGGATGGGAGATGGGAGGACGCCATGAGAGATGGTAAGATGCACGGAGCAAGGGGAGGCGGGAATGAGAGAAGGAGGGAGGGGAGGAGGGATGAGAGGAGGGTATGAGAGATGGAAAGGGGGGACGAGCGATGGGAGGAGGGGATGAGTGAGGGAAGGAGGGGATGAGAGAGGGAGGGATGGGATGATAGAGGGGAGCACGGGATGAGAGAAGGACGGAGGGGAGGAGAGCGGGGAGGCGGGGATGAGAGAAGGAGGGTGGGAATAGGCGACGGGAGGAGGGTATGAGAGATGGAAAAAGGGGACGCGCGATGGGAAGACGGGATGAGAGATGGACGGATGGGAGGAGCGATGGGAGGAGGGGATTCGCGATGGGAGGAGGGGATGAGAGAGAGGAGGAGGGGATGAGAGAGGGAAGGAGGTATGAGATAGGGGAGGGGGGGATGTGAGAGGGGAGGACGGGACGAGAGAAGGCGGGGATGAGGGGAGGAGGGAGGGGTTGAGGGGGGGGGTGGACGGGATGAGAGATAACAAGAGAGGAGGAGCGATGGGAGGAGGGGATGAGTTTTGGGAAGGAGGGGATGAGAGAGCTTTCGAGGGGGGTGAGAGAGGGGAGGACGGGATGAGAGATAGGAGGACGTGTGGGGCGAATGTCCCCCTCGGGAATCCGGTTTCGCACCTGATGCACATGCTTTGACCGCCTGGTGCAGTGTATGGAACACCTGGGACTCGGGAAAGTGCACCTGCGGCGCGGGGTAGTGCACGGCCCGGACGAGAAAGAGGCGCGACGCGAACTGTGGGAGCGGGACGAACAGGGGCATGGGGAGAGGGGAAGGCGGGGAGGGGAGAGAGGGCGGGGTGAGGGGTTTGGAGGCAGGGTGACGGTTGGGGCGGCGCGTGGGAAACTGAACGCGAATGGCAGAGGTGCATAGGCGGAGATCGAGACAGAGATGTGGGAGGTGGGGCGTTCAGGGACGATACGCCCATCGCAGGGACTAGACACGCAGTAGATGTAGTTTTGTGGACACGGAAGGCAAAAGAGTTATATGGCTACTGCTAAGCTCGGGAAGCTCCCCAAGAAAGGTGTGGATCATCTGCGGGAGCAGACGACGGCATGATGGTGCATTTTCCAACCCTGGCATGCGTGGAGGGTTCGGCCACAGGCTTTGCGGGAGGTTGCACGATTTCAGACGAGCTAAGGAGTTGGGCGCTGGAGCACTGGGGCGGCCAGCATTTCGCTAAATGCAGATCTTGAGGAGTGTTACAAGCGGGTTTGCCTCTCAGCAGGCGATGAGGAGGTTGGGTAGCGAGGCGGCTGTGTGATGGTGAAGAGGCGGATGGGCGGCGACCCGTCGGCGAGGATGAGGTCCCTAATCGTGGCGAGGCGGCGAGCAGGCGACAATCTGGCGACGACGCGCCGACTAGCTGGCGAGGCGTCGCCCGGCGAGGACACGAAGCAGCCGGGAGTCGAGATAGGCGGGGAGGCGAGAGATGCGTTACGGCGATGCGGGGTTGAGAATGTGAAGTGGCGAAAGGACGAGGAGGTCGCGAGGACAGGAAAACGACGCGCCGCGTTTCCCTGTCGTCGTCACGCGCACCAGCGAGGACAAGTCACAGCAGCTGAAACCGACTACCATGTACTTGCTGGCTTACGAGCCTCCTACGTGCTCCTTATGTCGATGTGGCGCTTAGGGAGTGCATTCTTAGTTGCCATCTCTTGAGTAGTGCTGTTTCGACGCTTTGGCGTTGTGCGCTTTTGCTGGTTTTTCACATGCTTGGTTGATCGACTCACTTCATGCCCGCTGCCTTTTCACTTACGCGGTTGATTTCCGCCCTTGCGCGGTGTACTCCCCCAGCCAAAAACTCAACTGAAAGAGGTAGGCTTCGCATGCCTGGTTTCAATCCCTCGCACCAGCCTTACACCTCCTGCAAAATTCGCCCTCGAATCAGTAAGCGCCATAGGGCGTGCACTAACTTTACACCCAAAAGCCACCCCCAGGAATGTGCACCCTTGCTTTAACACCGCAATCGATTGCTTAGCTGCCTGGTGGCTTGTTCCGCTTTCCGGTCATTGACGGATTTAGGCTAACAAAGCAGGAAATTGACATTTACTAGTGTCAATGCATCGTTAAAGCCGGCGGCCCAAATTGTTCATGCTTTTAAAAGTTGACCAGAGGGAGTTTTTCTGGTGTGGGCTTTGGCGAGAGTTTCCGATTTCGTCTAGGTTCGTTTTTTTCGCGAGACCCAGCCAACCCTCGGTTTTCCCCCTGGTGAGTGAATCTGTCTTCGAAAGTCCCAAATTGCAAGTGCGTGACTTTCAAAAGCTTGGACACTCAACTTCGTCAAGTTTTAAAATCTTGACCCTCGCGGCCCGCAATTTGGGACGCGGGCTTTAATGTCAGTGTTATTTTCCAGATAAACGTGCAGCATAGGTTCAGGATGTAGCACAACACGACCTACATTATCGAGTATCTAATTTGCCGGTTGAACTGTCTTTAATATGGAGCGTTTATCGTAGCACAAGATATAGCTAGGGTGAGTATCACCTGCCGTGATAGGAGCTTATTTTAGAGAGATGAAAAATTTCTAAGCGTTCATCGCTTTCAAATTTGTGTATTGTGAAAGCGAAGCTGACTGTAACGCAATTTTGAGCATCGTCGAAGCACGCTATTCGCCTTCTCCGAATATATAATGTGGGTTGGGTTCATTCTTCCCCTACCCGCGTCTCTCATTTTTACAATCGCTCAAGTTCAATTCCCACCCACCCTCCCCAGGCTAGTCACCCTTGCAAAATAGTAGTTCTTACACATCTTGTTTTGTTCTTACAACTATATTACTGCTAGGAACTAATGTACTTGAGCCCATTGTAATGAGAACGATGCCAATTGCTACAAAAGCAAGATTTCTCAATCGATAATTTGTGGGAACAATGTGTCGCTGGCGCTTCCTTTCACAAACGCGCATTCCTGCTTGGTGGTTACAGGAGGACGTTGCAACCTAAACGGAACAACAAAATACTCGGTATCGAGCCTTAGGGTATTCTAGGTTGCCAGCCTTGAAACCCGCAGTTACCAAAGGCACCGTCGGGTTACAAGAGAGAGTCGCCCTGTCGAGATGGAAAGTGTTGGGTGGTAACCGTGCTGGTTACATCGAAAACAAGAATCTGCTCTGGATTCGGGCGAATCATGCGACGGGCTTGCAAATGTCCAGATTGGGTTGGGCCAGGTGCGGATGATTTGCGGATGATTTGAGGGGATAGGAGTGAGGAAGGCGGAAGGAAGCAACGCAAAAACAGTTCACCAAAATTGTGTGAGGAGTGGGCGGGTTTGATTGCCTGCGGAACAAACACCTGAAATCTGCGATCCGAAAAGCAGCGCATGCAGAAAATGCCCCTGGGTGGAAACCTGGTTAGCTTCAGACCAGTTAGGGACGCCACTGTCGCAGGTCGAACTGATTGCGGAGGCAGTACACAGTACACGTAGATGTGTTTCTCCTGACCTGAAACTCCTGGTTGAGCGCGACTCGTTCTGCCCATGTGGTCGCGGCTCGCAACAAACCTCAAACCAAAACCTCGCTTTCAGACATGCCAAGGCATGGGGTGGTGGTGAATAAAGCAGCACCGAGGCTACGTTTTATTCAGCAACAGCACATCAGAACAGTTTCTGAGTCTCAGTGGTGACCCAAAAGTGGGGATTCTTCATTTCTCTATCAGCAGAGAAGCCAAATACGTACCTGCGCCGTATTGTCAATTTGACTGAATATAGTAGAATTATTAATAACCAGATTCAGCAGACGAGTTTAGCTCATGGCGCGTCTACTTTTTGTCGCCACATTCGCCGTGCTGCTGGCGGTGGCGTCCGCAGGACAAACCGTCGTGACTGGACCCAACAACCCTGCAGTCAGCCTGGACAAGGCCAAGGGCGAGAATGGCGTGGCAACCGAGGTCCCTCCTGGCATCGAGAAGGCGGCGGCCGCCGGCGGGCTGGACAAATTCGAGGGGACGACGATCGTGAGCCCGAGCACAGACAGTATTCTGATGGTGGACGTGAAGGTTGCGGGATGGAACAAAATGAAGTGCCACAAGGACCTGGGCAAGCCCGGAGAGGGCGCGTGCACGCCCGCCAACTGCAGCAAGGGCGGCATCGCCGCCAAGTGGAAGACGTCGAACCTGCTCAAGAACAAGCTGGGCGTGGAGGTGTACGTGAAGGGCAACCCGCTGACGCTGAAGAAGGCGTCCCCGCAGACGTGCTGCAACACGTGCGCGGGGTACAGCAGCTGCACGTACTGGCAGTACATCCCCGACATCACGATCGACGGCAAGAAGACGGACGGCGCGTGCTACCTGGTGCACGACAATATCGACTACTCGTGCGGCGACATGACGGCGCAGTACGCCACCGACTCGAAGCCGGTTCATCTGCAGGTGCGCACGGGCGGCGAGTGCAACCCCGCGGCGAACGTGGTGAACGACCCGCATCTGGTGGGCGCGTACGGCACGCACTTCGACTTCAACGGGCGCCCCGATAAGGCTTTCTGCCTGCTGACGGACAAGGACCTGCACGTGAACATGCTGCTGCGCGGGTACTACTCGGATGACACGGAGAACGCGGCGCTCGTTGTGGACGGCAAGGCCGTGCACACGTGGATCAAGGAGCTCGGCATCATCTGGTTCGCCAACGGCGCCGACCACAAGGTGCGGCTCGCGGCGCGCTCTGGCAAGCAGCAGGAGCGTGGTGATGGGCTCATGAAGACGATCGAGATCGACAGCGAGGAGATCCCGAGGATGCACGTGGGCGACGAGGTGACGACCGAGGGCGGGCTGACTCTGCGATTCGCGGCGCTGGAGAAGGAGGGCCCGTATGACGTGGACTACTACACGCTCACGATCGACGGGCTCGTGGCGCTCGACCTGCGCCTGCGCGTGGCCAACCCCAAGCTGCAGACGCCCAGCGAGGCCGAGGCGCACATCAACGTGGGGATTGTGGAGCTGGAGCACACCACCGATGTGCACGGCGTGCTCGGCCAAACGTACCGCCCCGACCACGCGGCTCGCGCCGCCGACTTCCAGCGCCTGATCGCGAACCTGCACCGTCCGATCTCAGCTGACAGCCAGGAGGGCGCTGGGTTCCTTGACGGCACTCCCCGGCTGTACGAGTCGAGCTCCGTGCTGTCCGTGGACTGCGCGCAAACGGAGTACCACCGCGCCAAGCAGCTGAGCCCCGTCGAGGACTTCCCCATGGAGCCCCTCAACTAGACGCGCGCACCCTCCCAGAAAAATCGGTGGGCTTTGATTTGGTGGGCTGATTTTGTAGAGCTTCCCTTGTATACTAGGTATCGAAGTCGATACTCCTGTACATTGATATATTATGAAACTCTTGGACCCTTTTACCACGGTCTCTTGCCCGTACTGGTGACTGTCGAGCAGAAAGGAGTTGTGACAGATGCTACTGCTGGGTATCACAGTCCATTTCAACCGTGCCCTCACATCCTCCTGAAGCTCCTTTGCAGTGAATTCTCTTCCCAGCTTACCGATATCAGACATATCAGAACGTTTGTACTAGAACTTCTGCAGCAGCTGCGAGCTTTGTTGCTGGTCAAGGAGCCAGGGGCGCCAACCACAAGGTGTGGCTGGATGGGGTGCTGTGGTCAGGCCCCCACCCCCACATGGTGTGGCTGGATGGGATGCTGTGGTCAGGCCCCCACCCCGGAAAACAGCTAAAAAACACTGGTTTACAGCTTTACGGTGCCGTAGAATTCACAAGAGCAACTGCATTTGAGCTTGAAGTGGTACTGAGACTTTTAAAATATCTGCACAAGTTCTGGTAGCTGGAACAACACAGGCATTTGTTGTACACCCTCTTGTGCAAGAATAGCCTACACCTATGGGCTGCAGTTAGCTGGCTGCAGCCGCCTTGGCTGCTGCCTTAGCTCCTCCTTTGGCTCCTGCTTTTGCCCCTCTAGCCGCTGCAGGTTTCTGTGGGGCCTGGTTTCGCGAGATGGGCTGAGTGTTGCGCTGTAACCACTGCAGGGGTGCCCCTGATAGCAAAGGGGAGACCTGGAGTCGATGGGGCCAGGGAAAAAGTGGAGGTGGTGAGGTGAGTTGAGGCGCCTGATCACCACAGCAGTGCACGGGAGCTTCTGATGGATGTGGTTGCCACACTGAGGTAGATGCATACTGCTTGGTTGCCACACTGAGGTAGATGCATACTGCTTGGTTGCCACACTGAGGTAGATGCATACTGCTTGGTTGCCACACTGAGGTAGATGCATACTGCTTGGTTGGGTGAGGTGATTTAAGCTGCTGTGCGCTCACCTCACTCCCACTCAGTGCCCCACCCACACTCAGTGTTCCACACTTGGTGTGCCACCCACACGCACAGCACCCCACACTCCCAGCATCCCACATTCCCAGCATCCCACACTCACAGCACCCCACACTCCCAGCATCCCACATTCCCAGCACCCCACACTCACAGCACCCCACACTCCCAGCATCCCACACTCACAGTGTCCCACACGCGCTGGTGATAGTCGTTAATCCACTTCACCTCTGCGTTGCTCAGCAGCTCCACACTCACTAGCTTCGTCTGCGGCCATGGGAAGGGGAGGGGGGAGGGGGGTGAAGGGAGCATGCGAGTCGACTTGGTAGTCGTTGATCCATTAGACCGCTGCGTTGCTCAATAGCTCCACACTCACTAGCTTTTTCTGAGGCCGTGGGGATGGGGTGGGATGAAACGGGAGGGATGAAACGGGAGGGATGAAACGGGAGGGATGAAACGGGAGGGATGAAATGGGAGGGATGAAACGGGAGGGATGAAATGGGAGGGATGAAACGGGAGGGATGAAATGGGAGGGATGAAACGGGAGGGATGAAATGGGAGGGATGAAACGGGAGGGATGAAATGGGAGGGATGAAACGGGAGGGATGAAATGGGAGGGATGAAACGGGAGGGATGAAACGGGAGGGATGAAACGGGAGGGATGAAACGGGAGGGATGAAACGGGAGGGATGAAACGGGAGGGATGAAATGGGAGGGATGAAACGGGAGGGATGAAACGGGAGGGATGAAACGGGAGGGATGAAACGGGAGGGATGAAATGGGAGGGATGAAACGGGAGGGATGAAATGGGAGGGATGAAACGGGAGGGATGAAACGGGAGGGATGAAACGGGAGGGATGAAATGGGAGGGATGAAACGGGAGGGATGAAACGGGAGGGATGAAACGGGAGGGATGAAACGGGAGGGATGAAACGGGAGGGATGAAACGGGAGGGATGAAACGGGAGGGATGAAACGGGAGGGATGAAACGGGGAGGATGAAACGGGAGGGATGAAGGGGTACATACGTGATGTGTAACCTGGCTGCTATGACCGTTCAGAGCCAGCTGGTGCATCAGCTTTTGAGTTTTGAGGCGCCTCACGTTTTGTGAGATGGTTGGGAAGACCAATTCCATGTCATCACGACTCAGATGCACGGCAATCAGATGGACCGCACTCAACTGCCAGATAATTAAAAAAAAGGAACCTAAACTCCAGATTACAGAACCAGATAGGAGAGGGGAAGGTAGAGGGGAAGGTAGAGGGGAAGGTAGAGGGGAAGGTAGAGGGGAAGGTAGAGGGGAAGGTAGAGGGAGGAGGAAGAGAGGTACCTGGATTGGAAAGAGTGTGAGGCACTCGAATCCCAGATACGTTGTTTGAGGCGCCTCAAAAATCGTCCAGTTAGAAGAGGAAGAAGGACACGAGATGCAGGGGGAATGAGAGGTACCTGGATTGGAAAGAGCGTGAGGCACTCGAATCCCAGATACGTTGTGCCACCAAATCGGAACTGCGTCTGCTGCTCCCTCACCACAAGAAGGTTCTGGGAAGGTGGCGAGACAGGGCGGGGCGGAAGGAAAATGAGGAAGTGGGATGTGTGGTATGGTATAGATGGAAGGTGTGGCAAGGGGGGAGAAATCAGAGTGTGTGCGCATGTGTGATGCTCAGGACCATCAGGACCATGCCAGCCTGCCTGCCAACCAGCCAGTACCACATACCCACACGCCCGCTCCTCACATGGACCCTCACCATTCCATGCCCTGGCCCCCCCACCCCCTCCTCCCCCTCACATCGATTCTAATCCAGACCTGGTTATCGTGGTAGAATCCCGGCTCGTTGCTCACAACCATGCACGCTTGCCAGTACCACCCACCCTCCACTCAAATGGCCCCTCAACCCCCCCACTCCCCCACCCCCTCACGCCCTCAACCAACGCACCTCATGCAACTCCAATTCTGCGCACCTCAATCCTGATCCCAAACTGGTTATCATGGTAGAATCCCAGCTCGTTGCTCACAGCCATGCCTTCTTGCAAGTACCATGCACGTACCCTCCCACCCTTTCCTCACATGCTCCCTCACCAACCAAACCCCCCCACACATTCCACCCCTTGTCCCACTCCCATCCCCCTCACCTCAATTCTAATCCCGAACTGGTTATCATGATAGAACCCTGGCTCGTTGCTCACAACCATCCCCGCCTGTCAGTACCACACACGCACGTACCACCAACCCATCCCCTCATGCCCTGCAATCCCTTGTCCCTTGTCCTCACCTCGATTCTAATCCCAAACTGGTTATCATGGTAGAACCCCGGCTCATTGCTAACAACCATGCCGGCCTGCAGAGGAGTCGGGTTGCCAAAGCGAGGGCTGATGCTCTGCGGCCCCTCGTGCACGTTGAGACCAGCGCCCACGCCGTGCCCCGTGCCGTGCCGGTAGTCCAGCCCCATGCCCCACAGCGGGCTTCGGGCGAGAATGTCCAGGGCGAACCCGGGCGTGCCCTGGGGGAACACCGCGCAATCTAACGAAATGTGGCCCTGGAGAGTTGGGAATGGGGAGCGGGAAACGGGAGGAGAGGGGATCAGGAACGCTGCACTGCTTCTGTGCTTCTCTACTGCTCTGCGGCCCCTCGTGCAAGTTGAGACCAGCGCCCACGCCGTGCCCCGTGCCGTGCCGGTAGTCCAGCCCCATGCCCCACAGCGGGCTTCGGGCGAGAATATCGAGGGTGAACCCGGGCGTGCCCTGGGGGAACACTGCACGGTCCAGCACTATGTGGCCCTGTGAGGGGAGCGGAGGGGGAGGGGAGGGAAGGAGGAGGGGAGGAGGGGGCCTTGCTGCCCCATGCCTCCCCGGACTACAATGTCCAGGGCAAAACCGGGCAGCACTCCTTCTCACCTGACAGCACTGCTTACCACCCGACAGTACTCTTTCCTCACCTGCAGCACGCGTGTGTAGCACTCCTTCTCATAGTCCGAAGGGGTCCCAAAGTGAACAGTGCGCGTGATGTCTGTTGTGCCATCCATGTACTGTGCTCCGCTGTCCAGCAGAAGCATCTTGGAAGGATCCACCACCGCACAGTTGTCCTCCTCGGCTCGGTAGTGAATGATCGCCCCGTTCTTGCCCGAACCTGCACGCCAGGCTCGGAGAGGTTGACAAGAACTTCCATGAGCTTCTCAGAGTTTTGCCATGCTTGAAACCAGCAGTTCATGCCATGCCATGCCATGCCATGCCATGCCATGACATGCCATGCCATGCCATGCCATGCCATGCCATGCCATGCCATGCCATGACATGCCATGCCATGCCATACCATGCCATGCCATGCCATGACATGCCATGCCATGCCATGCCATGCCATGCCATGCCATACCATGCCATGCCATGCCGTGCCATGCAGGAACCATCCAAAACCAGCACTGCTGTTCTCTGAGTCAACAAAAAAAGCCACTGATGTGCACTAGTGCACTGCACCGAGTATTTTCAAGCACTAGTGGATACCCTCACCTGCAATGCTGTCAAAGCTGGTGTTGAGAAGCATCAACAGGATATTTTCTTGCTCATCTTTCTGTCTAGCACCTAAGAAACTATCAAGAGGACACCTCACCTGCAATGGTATCCAAGCTGGTGTCCAGGAACCCCTCCTGCTGTGCGCGGAACGCCTCTAGCTTCTCCCCCAGCTCCACCCCCATCACATTCCTTCCCCTCCTCCACCACCGCTGTGCGCCTACCACCACTCCTCTGCACCCAATCTCATCAAGCACCATACAGCCAGCTGACAACGCACCTGCGATGGTATCAAAGCTGGTGTCAAGGAACCCCTCCTGCTGTGCGCGGAACGCCTCTAGCTTCTCCCCCAGCTCCACCCCCATCACATTCCTTCCCCTCCTCCACCACCGCTGTGCGCCTACCACCACTCCTCTGCACCCAATCTCATCAAGCACCATACAGCCAGCTGACAACGCACCTGCGATGGTATCAAAGCTGGTGTCAAGGAACCCCTCCTGCTGTGCGCGGAACGCCTCTAGCTTCTCCCCCAGCTCCACCCCCATCACATTCCTTCCCCTCCTCCACCACCGCTGTGCGCCTACCACCACTCCTCTGCACCCAATCTCATCAAGCACCATACAGCCAGCTGACAACGCACCTGCGATGGTATCAAAGCTGGTGTCAAGGAACCCCTCCTGCTGTGCGCGGAACGCCTCTAGCTTCTCCCCCAGCTCCACCCCCATCACATTCCTTCCCCTCCTCCACCACCGCTGTGCGCCTACCACCACTCCTCTGCACCCAATCTCATCAAGCACCATACAGCCAGCTGACAACGCACCTGCGATGGTATCAAAGCTGGTGTCAAGGAACCCCTCCTGCTGTGCGCGGAACGCCTCTAGCCTCTCCCCCAGCTCCACCTCTGTCACTGCCCTCCCCTCCTCCACCACCGCCCTCTCCGCCCACTCCCAGAAATGTGCCATTGCCACCGCGTCCCTGGGAGAACGAGTGCAGGTATATGATTCGTTGAAGAGGGAAAAAAGGGGAAACGAAACAGGAATCACTTGTTTAAGCATTGCCTTAATGGGTCCTCCCCTCCTCCCCCACCACCCTCTCCGCCTAATCCCAGAGGCACGCCATTGCCACCGCATCCCTGGGAGAACTGGTTCGGAAAAAGAGATACATTTCAGTAAGGGTAATTGAGAAAGAGGAAATACCGAATCACGCTCACCCCCATCCTTCTTATTCGAACATTCCCTCAGTGAATGTGCACGTTCTTCATCCCTTCGATCTCAGATTCATTCATCAGCGCCTTGCCCAGAGAGATTAGGGTAGTGCGACTCAGCACTGAAGGGCCTTCCGCTGCCACCGCTCCCTCCCGTCCTCCAACCCCTTACCGATTTTCCAAGTCAAGTAAAAGTCTCTCTCACCGGAAGTGGGCATTCTTCATCCCCTCAATCTCAGATTCGTTCTTCAGCGCCTTCGCCACAGAAACCACCGGGGTGGTGCGCCTCAGCACTGCTGGGCCTTCCACTGCCACGGTTCCCCGCCCTATCCACCCTGTTCCCTTTTTTCAAACAAGTGGAAGACCCCACTCACCGGAAGTGGGCGCTCTTCATCCCCTCAATCTCAGATTCGTTCTTCAGCGCCTTCGCCACAGAAACCACCGGGGTGGTGCGCCTCAGCACTGCTGGGCCTTCCACTGCCACGGTTCCCCGCCCTATCCACCCTGTTCCCTTTTTTCAAACAAGTAGAAGACCCCACTCACCTGATGTGGGCGTTCTTCATCCCCTCGATCTCAGATTCGTTCTTGAGTGCCTTGGCCAGAGAGATTGGAGTGGTTCGGCTGAGCACTGCCGGCCCTTCCACTTCCTCCCCGCCTGCTCCCCCTCGCTCCTCCCTCCCCTTCCCCCCCTTCCCCTCCTTGCTCTTCTTCTCCCCCTTCTCGCCCTTCTTCCCCTTCTTTCCCCCGAATCCCCCCTTCCCTGAGGCTCTCTGCTCGTAGAACTGAGCACAGGCGGCTTCAACAGAGCAGAGCACTGCAGAGGAGGCGGAGGCAGGGTCGAGCCAGAGGCGAGCTCCGTCCATGGCAGACCTGATGGAAGGTGGGTAGTGAGAAAACGAAAAAGGATGGAGAGGTGGGAGAGGGAGGGAGCGCAGGCGGCTTCAACAGAGCAGAGCACTGCAGAGGAGGCAGAGGAAAAGTCCAGCCACAGGCGAGCCCCCTCCATGGCAGATCTGCCAAGGGGGAGGGCGGAGGCGGAGGGCGGAGGGGGGAGTGGAGGGGGGAGAAAGGAGAAGGGAGAAGAAGAGATAGAGGAGAGAGAAGGGAGAGAGATGGGAAAAGGGGGCTAGAGAAGTGGGTCGTGCTAAGGAGAAGTGAAGGAGTCTTCATGAATGCATGCTGCTTGTAGCACAGGGCGGTGCTGAGTCGACTCATAATTCGACTCTAAACGAGGTGACTTCTGAGTCGATTCAAACTACTCGCAGAGCAGCGCACCACTGGGCTTTTTAAACTAATTCTGGAAATTCCAGAAACGCGTCGCAGCACAACACTGGGCTGCAGGCAGGCAGGCAGGCAGGCAGGCAGGCAGGCAGGCAGGCAGGCAGGCAGGCAGGCAGGCAGGCAGCAGTGAAATGGGCCAAAGCCGTGGCACGGTGGCACCTCCGTGGGGGCAGCCTGGCAGCCTGGCAGCCTGGCAGCCTGGCAGCCTGGCAGCCTGGCAGCCTGGCAGCCTGGCAGCCTGGCAGCCTGGCAGCCTGGCAGCCTGGCAGACTGGCAGCCTGGCAGCCTGGCAGCCTGGCAGCCTGGCAGCCTGGCAGACTGGCAGCCTGGCAGCCTGGCAGCCTGGCAGCCTGGCAGCCTGGCAGACTGGCAGACTGGCAGACTGGCAGTAGGGAACAAAATACCTCTGAAGAGGCACGAAGTAAAGAGGTGGGGTTCGAAAGAGAGGCCTGCTGACTTTATGAGTCAACTGAAGAATGCACGCACGTAAGGCAGGCGAACGCACGTACCGCTGGAGGAAGGGCACGAGGTCGCCATACGGCTTGACAGACACGCCTGCTGCTGCCAGATGCTCCCCCACTGCAGGGGCTGCCACCTTGCTGGGATCCACAAAGAGGTGTGCCCCCTCTGCAGGTGGACGGAAAACGCACGTACCTTTGGAGGAAGGGCACGAGGTCGCCATATGGCTTGACAGTCACGCCCGCTGCTGCCAGGTGCTCTGCAACAGCAGGAGCTGCCACCTTGCTGGGATCCACAAAGAGGTGTGCTGCTTCCGCCTCCACCACTGCATATGCCACTGTCACTGGGCAGTGCGGCACATCTGCCCCGCGCTGTTGAGCGTGGGTTGGAGGGGGAGAGGGAGAGGGGCAGTGTTTTTGAGAATTCTCAAAAACCAGCTCGGCACAAAGAGGTGCGCTGCTTCCGCCCCCACCACTGCGTACGCCACTGTGACTGCACAGTGCGGCACGTCCGCTCCCCTCTGATGGGGGAAAGAGGGGCAGAACGTGGTTGGGGAGGGGGACGGGGAGAGAGAGAGGGACTGCGACCTTGCCCGCCACGCGACGTAAACCAGTGCAGCACTCACCACGTTGACCATTCACTCACCACGTTGACCATCCACTCACCACGTTGACCATTCCCTCACCACGTTGACCATTCACTCACCACGTTGACCATTCCCTCAACACGTTGACCATTCACTCACCACGTTGACAATTCACTCACCACGTTGACCATTCACTCACCACGTTGACCATTCACTCACCACGTTGACCATTCCCTCACCACGTTGACCATTCACTCACCACGTTGACCATTCACTCACCACGTTGCGGGACACCAGCAGCGCCGTGGCCCCAGCACATAGGTGAAATATATTTTACTGGTCAACTGGGTTAGCATCAACTGAACACTGGTCATGCCAGCCAAACCAGTGCAGCACTCACCACGTTGAGCAGCCATGCCACCTCATCCAGAGCAGACACCAGCAGCGCCGTGGCACCGGCGTCTCTCATCTCCGCCCGCAGCTGCTGCAGCTTCGCCCTCACCGTCTGCCCCGCGAACTCGATCGGGTGCACCCTCATGGGCGCTGATGGGGGCGCAGGGCGCTGGTGGGAGGCACGAAAGTGGGGGGAGAGTACGAGGAGACTTTGAGGCATGTGGAAAAGCATCCCTCATCTCCGCCCGCAGCTGCTGCAGCTTCGCCCTCGCTGTCTGCCCTGCGAACTCGATCGGGTGCACCCTCATGGGGGCCGAGGGGGCCGGGGGGCGCTGAGGGGAAGAGCAGGGGCGGGACAGGGAGTGCAGGCAAGGAGACTGTTTAGCTTGAGACTTGTCAATGGGCGTTCCTCATCTCCGCCCTCAGTTGCTGCAGTGCAGCTTCGCCCTCAGTGTCTGCTCCGCAAACTCCATTCGGTGAACCTTAGTGGTGCTTATGGGGGCGGCGGGGGCTGGTGGGGAGAGGATTGGAGAAAGGGAGAGAGGGGAGAGGGGAGCGTAGGCAAGAGAATGCGGAAAGGTGAGAGGTGGAAAAGCTAAAATGCAGGTGCTTCCACTCTTGCACACACACACACACACACACACACACACTCCCTATTGTCTACACTATTATAATGTAAGCAAATACATACAAACCATAAAACAAACTAGTGAACTAGCCTTCAGCATAATTAAAGGAAAATAAGTACCTAACAACACCCCCCCTTAGGGTGACACCGAGGGAGAGATTAAAGAAGAAGTAGCAGGGCGAAGGCCGATGCAGGACTGTAGACGCTGAAGTGTGTCACGAGGGAGAGGCTTGATCCCCAAATCAGCAAAGTTATCACGGCTAGGGATGTGGTGCAGCGAGATATGCCCTTTGTCAACATGGTCACGGAAGAAATGGTGGCGGATGTCGATGTGTTTGGCACGGGCATGGAAAACACCAGCGTCCTTTGCCAAGACAATGGCGCTAGTGTTGTCACAGAGCAGCGGGGTGGGACCAGTGAGGGGAAGGCCGAGAGAGCAGAGGAGAGTACGGAGCCAAAGGGCTTCGTGGGTTGCCGCACCGAGCGCGTAGTATTCGGCTTCACAAGAGGATGTCGCAACCACACATTGCCGCTTGGATTGCCAAGAAATCAGAGAAGGTCCCAGAAAAAACAGGTATGCAGTGAGGGAACGACGATCCTCACTTTCGGAAGCCCATGAGGCATCACAATACCCGACCAGCTGGAGGGAGGCGGGATTGCCACCAAGAAGCAGCCCATGGGAAGAAGTCCCGTTGAGGTAACGGAGAACACGTCTAGCAGCCAGCCAATGAGGATCCGACCAAGAATGGAGGTGACGTGAAAGGAGTCCAGTGGAATGGGCTATGTCAGGGCGAGTGGCAACCATTGTGTACATGAGAGAGCCGACCAAAGAGGGATATGGGAAGGGTTCAGAGGGTGGCAATAAGGAGCGTGTTGGAAGGAGGGGCTTAGAGTCCATGGGGGTGTGGCTGGGGTTGGCGTGGCTGAGATTGAAGGTAGAGAGGAGTGCAGTAATAAATTTGGACTGGTGGATGAGGAGGGTCTGAGAAGAGCGGTCGCGGTCTAAGTGGAGGCCGAGGTAATAAGTTAATGGGCCAAGGTCACGAAGTTTGAAGCGAGTGGACAAAGAAGTCTTGAAGGTGGTAAGGGGAGTGATGGTGGTGGAAAGGATGATGAGATCGTCGACATAGACTAGGACAAGGAAGAAGTGGGAAGGATGTGGAAGAAGAGGTGAGGAGGGTGCAGCAATGAAAAGTCCGGGGTCGGCAGCGGAGGTGTGAAGGCCAAATGTGAGAAGCTCCGATTTCAGTTTTTTGTACCAACACCGAGGAGCCTGCTTGAGGCCGTACAAGGGCTTGTGCAGGAGGCAAACTTGAGGAGAGCCGTTGGCAGGAGGGAGTTTAAAACTGGGTGGTTGGGTCATGTAAATAATCTCGTCAAGGTCGCCATTGAGAAAGGCATTGGAGATGTCGAGTTGATGCATCTCAAGATCAAGGGCAGCAGCAAGGGTGAGGAGCAAGCGAAGCGTAGCAAAGCGAATGGTGGGTACAAATGTCTCAATGTAGTCAATGCCCTCACGTTGCTTGAAGCCTTTAATGACCAAACGGGCTTTATAGCGCTTGATGGACCCATCCGGGTTCTCTTTGACCTTGAAAACCCATTTGCAAGGGATAGGAGTGCAGCCGGGCGGTTTGGGCACAACGTTGTAAGTGCGATTGGCCGGGAGTGCAGTAATTTCAACGTCAGCAGCAGCAAGCCATTGGGGAGCAGCGGGGCAAGAGCGGGCAGCAGTAATTGTAGGTGGCTCGTAGTGGGAATGAAGAGCAATGTAGGCAAAGTCGTGAAAAAAATGGGCTGACTCGCGATCTTTGTCAAGGATGGTGTTAACAGAGGGGTCAGAGAAGTTGAGCTGAAAGTCTTGGGCAGTCGGGGTTGGAAGAGGAGGAAATACAAGAGGTGAGGAAGTGGGTGTGGAGGCTGGCTTCTGAAGGGAAGTGGGAAGGGTGAAAGGCTGGAAGGGAGGGGTGGGGAGTGTGGGAAAGAGAGGTGCAGACGGAGTAGCAGAGGGAGAGGTTTCTGCGTGTGTAGCAGGCAGCGGAGGAGGATTGATAGGGTCTGGTGAGGAGGTAGGTTGGGAAGGCGGGTGAAGTGATAAAGTGACAGGTGCGGGAGTAGGGGGTGATGGTAGAGGTGGTGGCGGGTGAAGGGGAGTTGAGGGGGAGGTTTCAAGGAATGTGACATCCCGAAAGTAGACAACCCGGCGGATGGAGGGGATATAAGCGCGATATGCTTTGTAACCATCACGGAGACCATAGCCGAGGAAGATGCCGGAAGCACTGCGGTCATGTAACTTGGATTCTCGATAAATAGTAGGTAGAAGCACGGAGACAGGGCATCCAAACACGCGAAAATGGGTGACGTCCGGCCGCTGACCTGTCCATAATTCCATAGGCGTGACATCGCGAGGGAGTGAGCGAGAAGGAGAGTGATTGCGAATATATGCAACAGTAAGGGCAGCTTCTCCCCACCACCCACGAGGAAGACCGCTGTCATGTAACATGCACCGCACCATGTCAAGGATGGTGCGATTCATCCGCTCAGCGACACCATTTTGTTGCGGGGTGTATGGTGTAGAGACCTGTCGGGTGATGCCACGCGAAGCGAGGAAAGCTTGAAAAGCGTCGGAAAGATATTCCGGGGCGCCATTGGAGTGCAAGACCTTGAGATGTGTCTTGCAATGGCTTTCGGCTTGGGCGAGATAGCGCTGAAATGTGCTAAAGACTTCAGAACGGGATTTGAGAAGGTAGACAGTGGTATAGCGGCTGTAATCGTCAATGAATGTGAGGAGATAGGTGGCGCCGCCAAACGTGGTGCCGATGGGAAATGGTCCAGCGACATCAGTGTGAACCGGGTCAAGTGGGGCTGAGCTGGACGAGGTAGAGTCTGGAAATGGCTGGCGGGTTTGCTTCCCACGAAGGCACGAAATGCAGGTGGAAGGTAGGGAACCGTTGAGGCTGATGCCGCTGACCATCTGTTTGGAATGAAGCTGCTGCAAGCTGTGTCCGTTGAGATGTCCGAATCGCCGATGCCAAAGAAGAGATGAAGCTGCAGAGCAGGATGCGGGAACAAGAGGAGGAGGTGCTGATGCACTTGAGATCGTGGCCGGCTGCGAAGATGAGGCAGGGCTGAGAGAAACGAAGAACAACTTCATGTGCTCATGGGCGACAGCAAGAACCGTGGAGCCTCGGAACACTTGGGCAGGAGCATGAAGAGGGAAGTGGGTAGTGAGTCCTTCGTCTTTCAGCTTACGAACAGAAATGATATTATGAAAAGTCTGGGGAATGTATAGGACATCCTTCAGGGTGATAGGATGGGTATGGTTGTTGTGACGGGCGTAGACAAGAATGTCCCCAATACCGTGGGCAGGGTAATCCTCCCCACCACCAAACCGGATGCCACTACCAGGAAATGGTTGACGGAGGGAGGAAAATAGATGAGGATCATTGCAGAGATGCGAGGATGCGCCGGAGTCAAGGAGCCAGGAGGAGGAAGAAGGAGAACTGGTGAGGACGAAGGCGAGAGGCCGCTGGAGCAGGATGGAGAAAAGGCAGAGGAGAAAGGAGATGAGGAGTAGTAGCGATGGGAGGGACGGCAGCCAAGAGGTAGGGAGTAAGTGCGCGGCGGCGACATCGGCATAGCGAGAATCAAACGAAGATGACAGTGGCGTGGATGACAAATGAGAAGCCGCGAGTGCTGGTGAGGTAACGTCAGAGGTAGGAGAGGGAAGGAGAGGCTGGGCCAGGTGGGCAGGATATGCCAGAGGTGGGAGGGCGGTGTGTGCAGCTGCCTTGTTGGGCGAGCTTTGAGAGAGGGAACGGAACGGCATCTGCTGTGGCTGTTGGGGCTGGTACGGTTGCGACTATGGCTGGTATGTAGACTGCGGCAGGTATGGCGATTGGTGCTGTTGCTGTAGTTGCTGCCTGCGCTTCTTCTTTTCGAGTTGAGGGCAAGTGGTGATGGCGTGACCAGCAGCCTTGCAATAGCGGCAGGAAGTGGTAGAGGTGCTGGAATGAGGCTTGGAGGGTCCAGGTTGAACGACATAAGCACCATCAGCAGGGAGCGACGAATTCTTTGTTGCACGGTCCCACTCTGCATCCACGAGACGTCCCTCGAGCCACTCAAGGGTCATATCCTTTATTTCTTTGACCGAGCAAAGCGTTTCAGTAAGCGTGTCGTAAGACCGAGGAAGACCCAAAAGGATAGACGTGATGGTCACCCAAGAGGGTAGACTGTAACCGCTGGTCTGGAGTTGCAGGTCAAGACCGCGAACGTGGTCAAAGTAGGCACGGATAGGCTGGCCAGGGTCCATGCGGACAGAGAAGAGCTGACGCAGCAGGCCGAATTGAGCTTGATTGCCGGTTTTGGCAAATTTTTTGTTGAGAAGAGCCCACAACCCGGCAGCGGTCTCGGTTGGAGAAATAGACATCGAGAGCTGCGTGGGAAGCGTGGAGAGAAGGTACAGCAAGGCACGCTGTTCTTGTTCTGCTGCTGCAAGGGCAGGGGTAGTAGCAGCCGGGCGAGCCGGGTTGGATGGAGCTGCCGGCGCAGCATCTGCCGTGGAGGCCGGAGCATTGGTAGAGGAAGAGGCGGATGAGGATGTGAGCGCGGAATCACCAAGAGCGTCGACGATGCCCACAATTTGGAAGGTTAGGACCACCATCTGCTTCCAATGATTGAATTTGGAGCCATTGGGGAGGAGGGAGGGCAAAGTGAGCCTCTCCAAATGACTGTCCACTGTAGCCATAGTTAAGATGAACAAAAAAAAAACGGCTATTCGATGGCTAAGCGTTGGAAACGAAGTACAGCCAATGGTCCATAAATATGGAGGAAAACCAGCAATGTTTCTAAAAGGTCTATTGTAGTGCAGTAGAGGCTGACCAACGGAGGCTCAGCTATAGCTCTGATATCATGTAGAAAATCAGACCTATGTGAATAATGTGCACAAGGAGAAGCTGGTTTTGAGATGTTGAAAAATGTATACAAACAGAAAGTTAATTGAAGTGATGAATACAAGCAAAACAAAAGCTAAAATAGGCAGAAAGTGAAGAGAGCTAGCTTGGAGGCGACTTGGGCTCGTCCAGGTGAGGAATTTGGTACCCAAGGGACTTGGGGTGGCCAAATGGGTGCTCAAGTCGCCCACAGTCAAGATGGGGACGTAAGGGACCCTCAAAGTGGGCCTGGAAGCGCCCCCTCTAGTGGAACCGCGATTCCACGAATTGGAAACGCGAATTCCAAGCTGGAGCCGCGTTTCCAATGTTGAAATTCGTGGGTCCAGGCTGGAGCCGCGTCCCCAAGGATGGGAAACGTGCTGGGGTGCCCCAAAGCCGAATTTGGGGTGCCTAGCACTTGATAAAGTCACTCAGGGGGCACCCTATAACTAATATAACCCAACCCCTATTGTCTACACTATTATAATGTAAGCAAATACATACAAACCATAAAACAAACTAGTGAACTAACCTTCAGCATAATTAAAGGAAAATAAGTACCTAACAACACACACACACACACACACAATCTCACACACACACACACACACACACACACACACACACACACACACACACACACAATATCAACCCCCAGAGAAGTTGGACTACACCATTTGTGCGATAATGGACTGTCTAAATTGATCCAACCCCTCTCCCCACACACCCAACCTCTGACCGCCCTCCCCCTCACCCCCACTGACCTCCGCGCCCCACACGGCGTCAACAGGGTTGCTCTCGCGCAGCAGCGGGATGATCTAGCCCCTCGCCCCCACCTCCCCAGCAAATCCACCTCTGCGGCCCCCACTGGCCCTCCCTCCCCCTCTCCCCACTGGCCCTCCCTCCCCCTCTCCCCACTGGCCCTCCCTCCCCCTCTCCCCACTGGCCCTCCCTCCCCCTCTCCCCACTGGCCCTCCCTCCCCCTCTCCCCACTGGCCCTCCCTCCCCCTCTCCCCACTGGCCCTCCCTCCCCCTCTCCCCACTGACCTCCCCCTCTCCCCACTGACCTCCCTCTCTCCCCACTGACCTCCGCGCCCCAAACAACGTCAACAGGGTTGCTCTCGCGCAGCAGCGGCACCACCACGGATGAGGACGCTGCCAGCGTGTCCGCCAGGCCTCTTACGTTGTCAGCCGAATGCACAAACTGGAGGCGGCAACGAAAGAGGGAGGGGGGATTGAAAGAAGAGGGGGAAGGATGAACGCATGCGCACGCTGCCAGCGTGTCCGCCAGGCCCCTCACATTGTCGGCCGAATGCACAAACTGGAGGCGGCGGGATGGTGGGGGTGACGGGTGTTGAGGGTGGCGGGATAATGGGAGGTGATTCATAAGGCAAGGCTGCTCAAAGGACAAGGAAGCTGCCAGCGTGTCCGCCAGGCCCCTCACGTTGTCCGCCGAGTGCACAAACTGGGGTGGGGGAGAGAGGGAGGGGGAAAAAGGAGAAAGAAGGGTGCTTGATTCAAGAGGCTGTCGCAACTCGACAACACAAGAGTTGTTGGGCCAAGGCAAGGCACAAACTCCAGGCACCTCCCCCATTCCCACTGACTATATCTCCCGTCTGTTCCATCTCCACAACAACATCGACCAGCATGTGAACACCCCATGCTGCTGCACTTTCAACCTCCCCCCTATTGCTACCGACTCTGCCTCCATCTGCGCCACCCCCCTTTCCCCTGCCCTCCTTCACCCCCCTCCCCACCACCCGCTCGCTTTACCAGGTCAACCCCCACTCTGCTCCCCACGGGATAAGTTTCCGCCAGCCAGTCCGCGACGGAGGGCACGCCACGCCAGGCAACCCCTCCCCACCTGTATCACGACCAACTCTACCGCCGCTCCGCCCTTGCCACCCTCCTTTCCCCAAGCCCACCGCCCCCTTTTTCCCATTCTCCGTATTATTTACAAGGTCAACCCCACTCTGCTGCCCGCAGAGAGTGCTTCCGCCAGCCAGTCCACGACGGAGGGCACGCCAGGCATACCCCCTCCCACGACTACCGACTCTAATCCCCCATCCTTGCTACCCTCCATTCCCCAAGCCCATCCCCTTGGCAATCACTGGGTCAACCCTCACTCGGCTTCCCCCAGGCAGCGTTTCCATCAGCCAGCCCGCCACGAAGGGCACGCCAGGCATCTCCCCAAATCATTACCGCCTCTTACCCCTATTCATGCCACCCTCCATTCCTTAAGGCCCATCCCCCTTGTGATTACCGGGTCAACGCCCACTCAGCTGCCCGCGGGGAGCGCTTCCGCCAGCCAGTCCGCAACAGAGGGCACGCCGGGCAACCGGCCCTATGACTTCCAACACTACAAACCTACCCCCACCCTTGCCACCTTCCTTTCCCCCAAGCCCACCCCCTTGTGATTACCGGGTCCACCCCCACTCTGCTGCCCGCGGGGAGCGCTTCCGCCAGCCAGTCCGCAACAGAGGGCACGCCGGGCATGCCCGCGCGCATGAGGTCCCAGCCCGGCGGAAGCTGCTGCTCCGCCTGCAGGAAGTAGCGCCCGTCCGTCCACAGCAGCGCGCGCTCGCGCGTGACCACCGCCGTGCCCGCGGACCCCGTGAAACCCGAGATGAACGCGCGGCGCTCGAAGCACGGCGCCATGTACTCGCTCTGGTGGGGGAAGGTGGGGAAAGTGGGGGGAGGGGGGAAAGTAGGGGGGAGAGAGAGGGGGGGGGGGAAGGTAGAGTTACCCGTGGGGAAGGACAGAAGGAGAGGAAAGAATGAATGTGATAGTAACGCAATCCCTGGTTTGCCTGGTTTTCGAGGCGCCTCAAAAATAGTAATGCAATCCCTGGTTACCGTCGCCGTGCCTGGTGATGCCGCTACTGCAGATGGCAAAACGTCCGTGAGAGGGAACCTGTAATGCGAGAGCTTGAGGGCTTACTGAAGCAACCTGATATATAACGTATATCGCGAGTCACCCATCGTAATCTGTTTAAAGCCTAAATGGCGTAGGTTCCAGGAAAGCAACCTGGTGCGGGTCTTCGGACGGAATGATAAACGCGTTGACGCCCTTTCCCCCATCCACTTCCGCCATCACTTCCCGCAGCCGGCGCAAGCGCTTCTCCAGCTCCTTCCCCCGCTTCTGCGCCTTCTTGCTCGCATCCTCCGCTTTCTTCCCCGCATCTTCCGCCTTCTTCCCCGTATCCTCCGCTGCCTTATTCTCCGCTAAAATTTCCCCGTCTGGAGCTGCTTTTGCATCGGCAGAAGGAGCAGAGGGTTCGGCGGAAACTTCGTCAGCGCCGCTTTTTCGTGCGCGCGCAGAGCAGGTGAGGAATCGACGGCGAGATTCGCTACCGGGAAACGCGGCGGGTGATGCGGCGAAGGAGACGGACGGGGTTGTCGTTAGACTTTCGGAGCGACGTCCAATTGGAATCACAACTGAGCCGGAGGATGGACTATTACGCGTACTGGCGGTTACGCTAAGAAATGTTTTAGATACATGCGATGATGCTATGGGCATGGCGGAACCGTGAAGAGCGGTGGAGGAAGGGTGAAGCGGGGTGGCCTGGCCGAGAGCTAGGGTGAGCGAGGAAGCGGAAATGGCGGTGTGGCTCAACATTGTGGACGAGGCGATGCGGGTTAGCGACGGACGCGCGATGAAGACGAATGGAGTTAATGTTTTTGCTGATGCTGATGCTGACGCTGCTGCGGCTACGGCTGCTCGCAGCATGCGACGTCCGTTGGGCGGAAGTGGGCCTGATGCAGGAACTGCCTGTCTGCGCCAGTAGTTCCTCTCGAAGCACCTGAAATCTCCGCCGCGAGATGCGGAGACAAGCGAGCGGGTAAGGGAATCCTGGTTGAGAAGTGAATTCGCAAGGCGAAAAAGCTGCGTGTTCTGTAAAATCAATTTGTGAAAGTGACCAGATTCACGAACCGATTAAGAAGCGCTCTGAATCGTCGATTTCCGAGTGCGGATTCATGCAGCAGGTAGCCACGTGACCCTGATTGGTTTGGCACAAACCCAAGATTTAAAGCCCAGCCCTTGAATTACAGAAAAGCCCTCACAAACTGGCCCCAGTTTGTGTCGCGCCCCTACTGGGTGCAGGGCACAAGGCTTTCGGAACTTTTCCGAACCTCCAAGTGCCTGCCTTTCCGAACCAAATTTTCCCGCGTTGACACCCTTGAGCAATTCGGGTGTTGCCCTTTAAAGGTTCGGTAGGCCATTGTGAGCCCTTGGACGAAATGTGGCCCACATTTGAAGCTACTGTACAGTAAAATGTGGTACACTATTGCGAGAGGGAAAAAACGACGCAGGAGCTATCATTCGCAATGTGATTACAGTAAAATATAATTTGTTCTGCATCACCTATACGCAATTTCGTCTCCCCATCCCCGCCTGCAATTTCATTTCCGCCTTCCCGTCATTCCAATTCGTTCCGCGCTCCGCAATGCTTTCCAATCCAAGTCCTTAACTCATCAACTTCTTCCCACCGAGAAATCCCCATCAACTATTTCTCGACGTTCCTCACAACGCAAAATTCTGCGGCGCCGTACCAGCTATCAGTTTGGCCACCATGACACATGAAACGGGTGGAGACTAGGAATTCTGGGATCAGTAAATTGCTACCAGACATAGGGCTACAGATTGAAATAAATATCGTAAATCTTAAGAGTACAATACAATTAAGCTTTAGTAACAGCCCACCAATTCGCAGCCCACCAAGGAAACGACAGACATGTACTCGGATCATAGCCACACGAAATTGAGAAGCTGAATCTAATTGAGAGGCTCCATGGGGAAGTCCTCGACAGGGCTCAGCTGCTTGGCGCGGTGGTACTCCGTTTGCGCGCAGTCCACGGACAGCACGGAGCTCGACTCGTACAGCCGGGGAGTGCCGTCAAGGAACCCAGCGCCCTCCTGACTGTCGGCTGAGATCGGACGGTGCAGGTTGGCAATCAGGCGCTGGAAGTCGGCGGCGCGAGCCGCGTGGTCGGGGCGGTACGTCTGGCCGAGCACGCCGTGCACGTCGTCGGTGTGCTCCAGCTCCACAATCCCCACGTTGATGTGCGCCTCGGCCTCGCTGGGCGTCTGCAGCTTGGGGTTGGCCACGCGCAGGCGCAGGTCGAGCGCCACCAGCCCGTCGATCGCCAGCGTGTAGTAGTCCACGTCATACGGGCCCTCCTTCTCCAGCGCCGCGAATCGCAGAGTCAGCCCGCCCTCGGTCGTCACCTCGTCGCCCACGTGCATCCTCGGGATCTCCTCGCCGTCGATCTCGATCGTCTTCATGAACCCATCACCACGCTCCTGCTGCTTGCCAGAGCGGGCCGCGAGCCGCACCTTGTGGTCGACACCCTTCGCGAACCAGATGATGCCGAGTTCCTTGATCCACGTGTGCACGGCCTTGCCGTCCACAACGAGCGCCGCGTTCTCCGTGTCGTCCGAGTAGTACCCGCGCAGCAGCATGTTCACGTGCAGGTCCTTGTCCGTCAGCAGGCAGAAAGCCTTATCGGGGCGCCCGTTGAAGTCGAAGTGCGTGCCGTACGCGCCCACCAGATGCGGGTCGTTTACCACGTTCGCCGCGGGGTTGCACTCGCCGCCCGTGCGCACCTGCAGATGAACCGGCTTCGAGTCTGTGGCGTACTGCGCCGTCATGTCGCCGCACGAGTAGTCGATGTTGTCGTGCACCAGGTAGCACGCGCCCTCCGTCTTCTTGCCGTCGATCGTGATGTCAGGGATGTACTGCCAGTACGTGCAGCTGCTGTACCCCGCGCACGTGTTGCAGCACGTCTGCGGGGACGCCTTCTTCAGCGTCAGCGGGTTGCCCTTCACGTACACCTCCACGCCCAGCTTGTTCTTCAGCAGGTTCGACGTCTTCCACTTGGCGGCGATGCCGCCCTTGCTGCAGTTAGCCGGCGTGCACGCGCCCTCCCCGGGCTTGCCCAGGTCCTTGTGGCACTTCATTTTGTTCCATCCCGCAACTTTCACGTCCACCATCAGCATACTGTCCGTGCTCGGGCTCACGATCGTCGTCCCCTCGTACTTGTCAAGCCCGCCGGCGGCCGCCGCCTTCTCGATACCAGGAGGAACGTCAGTTGCCACGCCATTCTCGCCCTTGGCCTTGTCCAGGTTCACCGCCGGGTTGTTGGGTCCGGTCACCACGGTTTGTCCTGCGGACGCCACGGCCAGCAGCACGGCGAACGTAGTGACGAAAAGTAGACGCGCCATTGTGATGGCTAGGTCTTGGTATCCACCCGGCGACCACCTTTCACTGATATATACGTTTGATCTAATAAGGTGTAATTAGTAGCGCGGTCCACTTGACTGAATTTCATTATCAGATTGACGCGAGCACTCCTATTTGTGCCTTGCAGATGGGGTCGGTTGGCTCAGCTGTTAAATTCGAGGGTTTCCGGAGATGGAAGATTGTTGCGAGTCGCGACGATGTGGTAGGAGGAGTCCCACAGGTAGGTTGAAGCCAGGTTTGGCTCAGGAGAATCTTTCCTGACTGTTCATTCAACCTGACAATGAACAAGCGCTCCGTCTTCCCCAGATTTAAGCTGGCCCAGGATGTATCAGGTCACTTTCCGCACCTGATGCTGTAGAAGACGAAGCGCATGTGCCATTCCAGGAAGGCTTAACCCGCCAGCGCACAGAACTCACCTGAACCGGTCCATGAACACCGCAGGTGCTTCTCGATGCAGGTGTAATATTAGTTGTTTCATAGCGCGTGTGCCCTTCTACAAACAACTTTGCTGTACTTTGCTTGGTACTTAGAAGCAATGTGCAACCAAACAGAATACAATGACAACTTTGATACCAGGAGTTTAATGTGAAGGTAAGTCAAGAAAACAACAATAATCCAGGCTCTTGACATGTAGTGCGTCCACAGATCCAGTTTAGAATGTGTGTGAATAGTAATGAATGACGGTTACAGTGCACTCCCGACCGCAGCTAAAGAAGCACGCCGTATCGAGAACGAATGTGAAGAGTCAAAGTTGACCCGAAACGTCAGACGGTTGGGATGCATCTGGACCGTTGGAAGCAGACAGCATCGGCAGCTGCAGGCAGGAGGGTTCTGGCGGGAACAGTTTCGTAACTGTACGCGCCGCACGGTTGGGAACGAATTTGAATAAGGGAATGTACCCCTTAGAGTACATGGCTAGCTAGGCCGATTCATATTCCCTGTACATGGCTATATTTATATCCTTGTATTTGCATGTTTTCATCATCTCAAGCATTTACATTCACTCTACTATTGAGGTCAAGGGCCCACCACCACTAAATCAGTAGTGTGCGAACCTTCCTGAGGTGATCCTGAGAACGATCAACTTCTGATCGCAACATGGTATGAGAGCGACCCAGGAATCTTTCGCACAGTCGGAAAGTGGCGACCGGCACACGCTCGCGTGTAAGAATGGCCGGAGGGTCTGGCGATCAGACGAATCTGACAGCTGAAGCGCAACCCAATCCGGCTGCGACAAGCGAGGGAACGACGACGATCGGAACCGAAGTCCTCGCACAACTGCTTCAGCGACTCACCAGCTTGGAGCAAGGGCTCCAAACATTGCTGAACGGCGACGCGGGAACATCCTCGCAACCTTCTCAACCAGCCCCAACCGGCCAGAACGCCGCCCCACACACATTCTCCCTCGACACAAATGGTTCAACTCCCAAGACTCCCAGTCCCAGTGAAGAGGCAATTCTCTCTGCGCAATCAAGGTTTCTCAGCATATCAAAAATAAAGACAAGTACCTGCTTTGACGGCAGAGATTTTTATACTCGGACCTTCGAACTGGAAATCCTGCTGCAGAACGCCCAAAACTTTCATTATTTCGATGGGAGTTAGACGTAGCCTGCCGAGGACACCGACGACGCCAAGGCAAGATACTACAACGAATCCTTGATGGCGTACGGGGTGCTTCTGCGGAACATGTAGTCGGCGAAGCAATTGAGCATTCGCTCATAAAAGACATCAGCTGCTCCAGCCCTCGACGCTTGGCGCCATCTCAACGGCGTATATCAGCCGAAGGACTCAGTCTCTTCGAGCCGGCTACTCCAGCAGCTACTGAAAACCAAAATGGCCCCAGAGGAGAAGGCCAACAACTACATCAATCGCTGTCGGAGCTTACGCGATCAAATCGCGAAACTTGGGAGCACAATCCCTGAGGAAATTTTCGTAAATATCGTGCTTCAAGGGCTCCGCCCAGAGTGGCGGCCCTGCAAGGCGCTTCTCCGACAACAGGGGGTCATCTCGGAGGCCGCCCTTTGCACCGCCCTTCTCGTCGAACAAAGGGATATGGATCAGCAGCGACCAGCGCCACGACGAGAACGAGAACGGCTCGCCTTCTCCGCCGACAACAACGAAGAGCGAAGGCCGCAACGCCTCTACTGCAAAAATTGCAGAAATTTTGGGCACCTAGCGGATCGATGTAAATTCCGATCTCACCCTTGCCAGACCAATCCGAGCAACTTGTCTGTCCGACAAGACGCACGAGGCGACGTGCGTCAAGCCCAGGGGTATCAACCCTCGTCCGCGCGCAATCTGAACCCAGCGATTCAGCATCAGTAGCAGCAGCCGTCATCGACTGCCCCAGTACGCAATGTTATGAGCAATAGGGCCATGACAGGCGACTCGCGTCGTCGTCGCGTGCGCTCACCCTCACCTGAGCCAGCACCGCACCCCATTGGCGCGTTCACCAACAACAACCCGTTCAGTCCGCGCCGCGACTTCACCGACGACGACGACCAAAACTGGAATCTTCTAGTCCCGCTGCTTGAAAGTCCCCTGCACGTACTTGATATGCGGGTGGCACCACTCGACTGTGTCAAAACATATGCATATTATTATCTAGGCTATATTGGGGCTATCCTTAAGGGGTACTGAAACATTCTCGACACTCTAGTTTTGTACCCCAACCTTGACCTAATCACATCCTTCCATGCCCATGTTCTAAGATGGTATCTAAAGCAATAGGTCTTTAGGACCTAAGATTAGGGCCCACCCGTTACCACGTTACCTAGGCTGCTGCCCGCGCGCGGCCTCTTTTTTTTCCCCACGCGCGCAGCCTGTTTAGGCCCGTTTAGGCCTGTTTTCGGCCCCGCGCGCCACGTCAACCGCCCGTGCAGCCTGCCGCCGGCCCGCGCGTCGCGTAAGCCGCCCGCGCGCAGCCTGCTTAGGCCCTGCACGCCGCGTCCGCCGCCGGCGTAGCCCGTTTTCGGCCCCGCGCGCTACGTCAGCCGCCCGCGCAGCCTGCCGCCAGCCCCGCGCGTCGCCTCCTCCGGTGACGGCGCGCTGCCCCCCGTCGCTCGTCACGGTGCGTGTGGGACCCGCGCGCTGCCCTGCACCAGCTACGCCGCCCCTAGAGCAGCCACCTCTGGACCCGGAGCAACCGCCCCTTGCCCCTGAAGCAGCCGCCCCTGGTGCAGCCGCCCCTGGACCCTCAAGCAGCCGCCCCTGGACCCACAGCAGCCGCCCCTGGCCCCTGAAGCAGCCGCCCCTGGACCCTTGAGCAGCCGCCCCTGGACCCAGAGCAGCCGCCCCTGGCCCCTGAAGCAGCCGCCCTTGGTGCAGCCGCCCCTGGCCCCTGAAGTAGCCGCCCCTGGTGCAGCCGCCCTTGGACCCTGGAGCAGCCGCCCCTGGACCCAGAGCAGCCGCCCCTGGCCCCTGCAGCAGCCGCCCCTGGAGCATCCACCCTTAGACCCCGAGCAGCCGCCCCTGGCCCCTGAAGCAGCCGCCCCTGGTGCAGCCGCCCCTGGACCCTCGAGCAGCCGCCCCTGAACCCTGAGCAGCCACCCTTGGCCCCTGAAGCAGCCGCCCCTAGTGCAGCCGCCCCTGGACCCTCGAGCAGCCGCCCCTGGAATCAGAGTAGCCGCCCCTGGCTACTACAGCAGCCGCCCCTAATGCAGCCGCCTCTGGACCCTCGAGCAGCTGCCCCTGGACCCAGAGCAGCCGCCCCTGGTGCACCCGCCCCTGGACCCTCGAGCAGCCGCCCCTGGACCCAGAGCAGCCGCCCCTGGACTCTGAAGCAGCCGCCCCTGGACTCCGTGCAGCCGCCCCTGGAACCGCGACGCCGCCCCTGGACCCCGTGCAGCTGCACGCCGAGCGCTGACCCTGCTCGCCCGGCGAGCGCCTGCTCTTCCCGCCACTTGTGAGCACCTGCCTTATTAGCGCACTGCCGCGCCATCTGCCTGCCTGCCTGCCAGCCAGTCAGCATGTCTGCCTCTCTGCCTCCCTGCTTGCCGCGCCTGCCCTGCCCGCGCTGCTACTGCTGCTACTTCTTTTGCTACTGCTTCTGCTGCTACTGGCGGTGGCCAGATGTAGTTCCAGCGGTGTCCACGCAAGTCTGTCCCGCCCCAGCAGCTTTGTGAGTGGTACGCTAGTTGGGGTTGTGGCGGTAGCCGTCGTAGTTGTTGCCCTGGAGCTAGTCAGTTGGGAGCGTCTGACAGTGGCCAGCTTCAGCTGCAGTGGCGTCCACGCGAGACACTTACGTCCTAGCAGCTTCACGAGTGGTACGCTCAGAGTAGAGGGTCTTTGAGTACCGTTCGCTGCCCGTACGTCATTCGCACAGGTGATCGGGCTGGTCAGGCTTGCGGGACGTTTAGTCACACACAGTCCCGCTGCTTCGCCCGTCTGAGCGACGCCTGGCGTATCGAGTTTGGCGACGAGGCTGAGCTCCCCACCTGGCTGGAGCTGCTTAGGCAGAAGGTAGATATCTTTACTCTTGACTATGATGCTATTCTCACTGCCATGTATGCATTGCCTACTAGTGCTGACCGTGCCTGTTCCCTGTGCGTACCGCCTGACCCAGGTATAGAGCCTGCTACTCTAGGTGCTGGTGAGGCTGCTGCCCTAGGTGCTGGTGAGGCTTCTGCTCCAGGTGATGGTGAGTCTGCTCTCTCTGGTACTGCGCCTGCTGAGGCCTTGTACACCTTCACACTTGACTCCGGTGCTTCTCGCTCCTTCTTTCGCGACAGCACCACCCTCACGCCGCTCAGTCGGCCGGTTGCAGTCTCTCTAGCAGACCCCTCTGGGGGTCCAGCCCGTGCGACCTCTACCACTGTCCTCCCAGATCTTGCTGTCCCGTCCGGCACAGTTTCGGGTCTTCACCTCCTCTTGTTCTCTACGAACTTGGTGGCGGGTTCCGCGCTCCAGGACGCAGGTGTTAACCAGTTCACCCCTGCCTACGAGCGTGTGATACACTACATGTGTGCTCAGACGGGTCGTC